TCCCAGCAGGCCTTGCATTTAAATTGGCATTATCTCTTATCTGCCTCACAAAACAACACACTTAAATCCTTACAACGCAACTCATTGGTCCTTAACACACACACACACACACACACGAAAAATCACATACGTGTGTGTAGCAAAAGAGTCAAGGTTGCATGTTGTACATGTGCCACATATCCATGGAAAAGCGGTGGAAAAACACTGTAACACACATAGACAAGGCACCTGAGGAAGAGCCTCACTGGTCCTCCTCACTGACCCACACACAGGGAAAAGGAGGCACTGCACACACCTGTGTGTCCAAGCACACTGATGTGGTCTCCCTGTCTAGAGATGCAAGCAGAGTTGGTTTTGAAAAGAAGGTGCAACACTGTCTTAACACTCACATTGATTTAGGTTGACTGGAGGGATTTTAAAATTGGAGACAATAAACCTTTATAAAGTTCTTTTGCACAGGACACCAACAAGACACTGTACCATAATATATAAATTGGGTGCATTGAATCTTAAATTACTCAAACTTATTCTCCCTTTTTAAGTTAAACTCTACAGTTCAATTGCTTATCGTCGACCAATCGAAGTTAATTATGAATAAATCTGAATGAGAGAGATGCTGTGTGCTTAAGAACATATTTTGTTGTCAGAATATTGCCTTTTTACAAACCTTTTCCAATGTGCTCACTTTATCTTCCTTTTGGCAAAATGGCAAAAATTAAAATCTCATACCAGAACTGAAAAAATATAACCCATGACCGCCCCTCGAAATGGCCGCTATTAAGAATACCCTGAAGTTCAATAGCTTTACTACAGTACAAATGTTTAGACATTTCCTTTTTATTTCTCCTTGCAGAACATGTGTTAGAACACATAAGTAAAATACCTTATTTCACAGATGTTCAACTGAAACCTTTATGAGGCTAACTCAAGGTTAACTTAAGTACTCATCTGAAAAAGCACTGTCGGTACTAAGTAGCATTTAATTACTTCAAAAACTTTTTACTTTTTAGCTAAAACCTGCAATGATTCAAATCATAATAAACAGAACAAGAAATAATGAAAGAATCAGACTAGAAATACATGACTGGTAAACTAGGACACAAGAATTATATCTCTAAAAGATATCAGAACACTTCAGGTCAAACTTATTATTAAGAAAAACGTTTTCCACCGGTGTCGCTTGTCATCTCTTTCTGTAAGCTAAGCAAGATCTTGAAATGTTATTAACGACGAATTTTAATCCTTTTTCGAGCTGCAAAATGGATAATTTCACATTTTTTTTTCCATTAGGTGCGCACTGTCACCTTCATTTGCTATGCTGGTGAAGCACAGAATAAGAAATTTAAAAATGACGTCCTGCAAGTGGAAAATACACATTGTTATATTTTTGCAAATTATGGCATGTTTATGAAACCAAGATAATGGGCATAAACTGCTTCTTAAACAAGAAGGAATGTAATCACAAAGCTCAAAAAAGTGCGCTGGTTTAAAAGAAATAGAAAACCGTTAAGCAACAGTATAAAAAAATGTCAAGTGCCTTATGTATTCAAAACGTTCGATCAAGAGAAAGAAACTTCCTCTGTCTTGATTCTGGGAGATTCTTTTGAGGAACATGATTCTGTTCGTTGATCTTAGTGTTATTCGACAAACTTACAAAACGGCATGTGTATATAATTTGTTTTTCTTGTACTGTCCAACAAAATACGGTTGAAGACAAAAGCAAAACCGACCACCTGATCGTCTTAGTAGTTAAAGCGGATCGGCTGCCTCAGGTTTAGAATGGCAAAGGTACTGAGCTGGAGTTATCTGTATCCCTCACTAAAAGACGGTTTGATTTCAGAGTTTTTAAAACAGAAAGAAGTCAGGACCGCAGCACAAAGAAGGGCAATGTCTGAGAGGAGAGAGCAATAGCCGTACAGGATACACATCATCCATGGAAAATAAACAGTGGGAACGACCCGTGACTGACGGCGAGAGTCACTGACAGCACACAAACGCAATCGCACTAACCTAATCAGATACAGCAATAAAGCGGAATTATATCCCGTCAAAGTGGATTTACAGTGTTTGTTTATTAAATATGCTGTTTCGGACTGAATTCTGCATGCCTGATCGAATTGAGTGAAACACGAGCGTAGTGTGTGCCTCCATCCTTCCTTGGGATATTTTAAAAACCACACTCTTAACTGGAGACATATTTGGTTAAAGGCAGAGATGAAGTCTAATAAAGCACACATGTTTAATGTAATCGTTATTTTACTCAATAGTCATGCTTGATATCAAAATCTTTCTTGCAGCTGAAAGTTAACCAAGAAAGTTAACCAGAAACATAACAAGCAGGCCGACACAACCAATTTCGACTACACTGAGCTGAATATAATTAAAACCTAGGAAATGAACATAGGAAATTAAAATCCACAACACTATTAAATAAAAAGAGGCACGTTTCTTAAAACAGTTGTAAAGTTTTAGTAGTACAGTTGCTGTCAAATTAAACGAATCAGGGAAATATGTTAAATAAGGAGTTTCTGGGAAGCTGATTTTTATATGCAGCGTCTAACACTGCGTCACATGGCAAAGATCACAATGCAGTAGTTTTAAAATCAAGTGTGAAGTCAGGCCTTAATCATTAAGAGTGGGGAACATTTTAAAATGGGAGGGGGGGGGGTGTTTTAGCAGATCTGACACTTTCAAAGGTACTGCTCAATAGGTCAGGAGAAACTGGAAAACTCACAGGGAGCAGCTTTTGTAATCTCAGTGCTGTACTCTTGAGTTACACTTGTTTTCTGTTTAATAAACAATTACACTTATCCTAAGGGAGCAGGGTCAGGCAACGTTAGCGGCCCATAACCTTTTTCCTACAGAATGTGCCGGGTAAAGTCACAGAAGTAATAACGTGTTGCTACAATAATTTGATGTTGTCTGGCAGCCCCCGCCTCACACTTTCTCGTCTTGTGATAGCCTCCTTAGGAAACATCTGAAGACCTGATTACATCGTCTGCTCAACACTTGAGGGGCAGCATTTCATACCACTTCACCAAAAGCGTACCTCCGTAAACGCGTTTTCATACGCTGGACTCCGCGACGATTAACGTAGCGGCTCAAAAATAAAATGTGAGGTTTTCGTATCAAAGTACACTCCACTGGTATCGTTCCCTGCCACCAGAGTACCAGAGCGCATATGTTATCCGATTCAATATCGCCGTTTTACAATAATGACAATGTCAGTCAATTCCAATCCGCTTCCTGCGTTCAAAAAGAAAACTAGAAAACAGTATTGTTGAATTCGTGGTATTGGTGTATTCTTAATACGGACATTTCTGACCCTTAAATACTCTGTGACCATCTTATAAGGGGGAAATAGCATCATGAATATTTAGCGAGAAATGATTAAAACTTGCAAATTGCGAAAAATCTGTCGCGGGATGATTACAGGGTTTTTACACCCAAAACTGCAGTTTAATTGCATTATCCTAGTTTCTCGCTTGTAGTTCGCTACTTTATTGCAAAGACAGTCCAGACATCTTCAGACGACTACTATCCCGCTAACTGCACATGCAGGTTTACCTCAGCACAGCGAAATGCGTAATACTAACTGATCAAAATGGAGCGCATGATGAACTTCGTGTACCAGCTTCCTCCTGGCAATACCAGTTTTTATCTTACAGCAACCACAATTAAAGTAACAAAAAACACGAAATGGCTGAAGTGAAATCATATTCGATTTATTGCATTAACTTGTTCTCTTAACAACTGAAAATTGTCGCACATTTGTCGCAAAATTCACGCGATTGGTTTCCAAATGTTTTCATGAGTACTGTCACAGCTTTCCAAGCACAACTGCTCCAACATTCATGAAAATGCCGTTCAGAAAATGACACGAAGACGACAAAATAAAGTCATATTTTATGAACTGTTCAAATCAGCTAAAGAGCAAAGCTGCGCTATTGTGAATAACGGGATCAGAAAACTAGTTTATCATGAGGGCTACAACATTTCCTCAAATCCCCCGGAAAAGTAAAACAATAATAAAACCTATATAAACAAATAGAAACTTTCTGTAAATTCTTTCGAGGAAAGAATGTTCCTTCTGCTTGCACAGAACACAAAACAAACAATTATTTCCTACTTGTATAAAAAAATTACCTAAATAAAGTTTATTTTCTATAAACTGTCGTCCGCACTAAACGGAATGAGTTACGCGCAATGCGGCTTAATAAAAACACATAATGACAATGTAGCTACAAATGTATCCACTACTGGTTTTGCGCAAACCATCAATAAAAAAACACGAGGTTTCGGAAAAGCGCTGGAAGCAGATTCAGAGATCTTCGAATGGCTCCACACGCGAAGGAAAAGACTGTTTTGACAATTGTGCAGTTTTACATATACATATTCTAATTCTCCAAACATAAATTAAATATCACGCATCATAAATGCCCACTGTGCACAAACCTGTGCATGCATAATTTAATTGCCCTATGCAAATAGATTTTCGCCCATGCACCACGAAAACACTGCTCCTCAAACTTAAAAAAACGCCTAGCTGAACAAAAGATAAAAGTAATCTGGACAGAGATTTTCTTTTTTTTTAAAAAAATCCAAAAATAGCGTTCAAAACAACTGAGTTATGTACGAGGCAATACCACGGTCACAATCCTATTTATTCAAATTCTAGCCTAATAATGATCCTGCGAACGCATTGGAAAAAAAAGCGCAAAATCCGACGCTCTGCCTTTTTCCTCGGCCAATGCAAATATCCATCTCTTCACAATGCGAACCTTCACTTTCCCTCCCTCCTCTCTCTCTCTCCCTCTCTCTCCCTCACTCACTCCCTCTCCCTCTCTCACTCTCACTCTCACTCTCTCTCTCTTCTCTCTCCACCCTGGCCCTGTCTCTATGAATAATGTCCTGCCTTTTGTAATGAGAGCGGAGGAAAAAAAGACGCCGGGGTGTTAGGCTAGTCTGCGCTCTGACATTGAAAATGAATGACAGCTTACCTGAATGCCAATCTTCATCAGACTGACACTGGGCTGACAACACAGCCTATACTCCCCAGCACAGCCGGTGACGTCAGCCATGTAAGACCCCTCCTACCACCCCCCCACCCCCCTCCCGTCTCCCCTCGCTTCCCCCCACTGGTTCCCCCCAGCATTGCCACGCGCACCCCGAGCCCAGCCGCTCTTTCATCCGCAGAGCCTGCCGGCCCCCTGGCGGCCCGGCGCGTTACTGCCAGACGGCGGGGCCCCTTTCTCGGCTCAGCTTGAGCCGTGTGTGTGCGCGACGGGCCGGACGTTTTCGATTTAGCAGCAACAACAGCGGCAGCGGCAAAGTTGTAGGAATTGGAAAAGCCCCCCCAGCCCACCCATACAACAGCTCACCATAGGGCAATGGGTAGTCACAACGCGGGTTAGTCCCGAAAAAAGTGCAAATCCCGGCCACATTCCGTTAAGTGCAGGGTTGAATCAAGCCAAATTAATTTAAAAATAATAATAATAATAAAAGAAGACCGATTAACGATTAAGTGAGCAATAAGCATTCGCGGATTTAAAAGAATTTAACACGGCATGTATTTTGACACGACAGTGATGTTTTAAGTTTGCAGCTGCTGTATGGCATTCATTCATCTTACGACATTATTAGGGAACGTATACACTGAAAACAGTTTTTTTTTAATGGTTTGAATTGTTTTTTGCCACGGACCTCCAATATTTTACTCAGCAGCACTAGGAAAAGTAGCAAGGGAAAGGAGCGGGGCTTACTAGTGGCCCAAACAATTACGAGAAGGTACAAACTATTGAAAACTATTGCCCTGAGACAGGTCACTGTGGCTCGAGTGCTTGCCGCAGTACCTGAGACACAGCAGTCACAAATCTCAGTGATGAAGTGCAGATAAATTTGCGGAAGAGCCGATCTCGGTTGCTTTAAGGAAGCAAGGTCTTATGGTCTCAAGGGGCAGAGAGAGTGTTTGGGTGCGACGGGCAAAATATGCGGGGAAACTGACCTGGGTAAAAATGGGTTTAACGGCGATGCAGATCCGAGTATAAAAAACGGGTGCACTGTTACAGCACGTCTTGCAGCCCGACGCGTTGCAGGAAAACTACATTTCCCGACAGCCCTAGCGCTTCAGCATCGGCTTCCGAGAGTGGCTCGTCGCTTCCGCCAAGGTTTGGTTTAGGTTTGGCAGGAGCTGATGTGTAGAAGCGTTGGTTGCCAGGGGAGCCGATGAAAGCTTTGCTTGTCCTATCAAGAGGATCAGGTAACCTCATGCTGCTAGATACAAAAGAAAAAGTGTATTTCAACATACCGAGCTACATAGTCGAGCATTAGATCTGTTTTTTTTTTCTTTTCAAATTTTGCATCGGTGCGTAGATTTTTCCCCCCCACTGATTGCAGAATTGCAATCGCAGCGATAAGGCTGTAACCGATTGCCTCGTCTTGGTGGTGTCAGTTCATGACATACTTCGACTACGAATAGGAGGATTAAAGACGTAGCTAACGTTACCTGATTTGCCGTTTCATGCAAGAAAATCATAATCTCCTCGCATCGCACTGTCCGACACGTAGTGCAGTAGTTTTTGTTTTACTTTAGTTTGCAGGGAAGAAATTGACTTCGGCTGTAGTCGGCGCTGAATGCAGTGTAGGTACAGTATGCTTTTTGTCTGTGCAAAGTGGATATATCTTATTGTCTGCAGAAACAGTGTCTTGAAAGGGTTTGTAACTCTGGAATAAAAAAAAATCCTGTAGATAGCTATGTTAAATAGGCTCGATCTTTACAGGAGTTTTCAGCGCCTTACGATGGTTTTATCCAGTTCTCCTGCGTGTTTTTCTACATCTTGAATATCACTGAGCTCAAACTGCCGTCGAGACAAGGGAACGTGATTGAATTTCGCCGTAATTTATCCGGCAGACTGTTTAGTTTAGTACTTAGCTGACAGTTCTCCACTAACCGTAAGTACAAATAAATATTCACCTTGATACCTTTAATTCAGTTTACTTAATGTCCGAATTTTCCTGTTTTTGTCATCTACGTCCGTAATAAGTGGAAATTTAGTGGGGAAACTGCGACAAAACATTTTATTACTCCTTTTCCACCCAAAGTCTCGGCTCTTCCACGAGGAGTCACAATGACTGATATTGATAAAAGCATTAAAGAGGGACTGAGCACAAAAGCACGGAAGAAGAAGAAGAAAACACACTTTTATTATTTTAGAACACCCGTTACATATCGTAACACTTTCCCACCACTGTGCAATTCTCTGGCGCAAACCATGCGCTGGTGCGCGTCTCTGTCGGATAAAATTGAGGTTGCAGGTACCCCGATTTCAAAAGACGTGATCTCAGGCTTTCAAAAACATCTTGCCATCTTGCTTTTGTGTGTTTGTGTGTATATACAGCTGAATATGAGCAGCAGGATCATGGTATCATCTTGCAAGATTCCTTCACTTTGCCGCGAGTTCCTCATTTGCTGTTGTTCTGAATGGATTCTTACACTAAAGCAACAATTTTCAATAAGTTTAATAGCCGAAGACACCATCACTAATCTAACTCACACCTTTCTTCATGCTCACTCTGCATTGTCTCACAGGACACAGCCCTTGGCTGTTACCACAGTGTTCGGTTAGCTATAACACAATGGTTACTCAGTGCACATCTTTACTTTACACTCCGTGCATGGTCTACCAAGTGTGTTTCTCACTACTGCTGTACAGTACATATTCATTGTCCACACAACATAGTTATTGTTCAAGTAGGGAGCTGCGTCAGCATGCGTAGGCTGCAAAGGAACAAGTATAGGTTTATTCCAGGCTGAAAAGAGAAGAATAGAAACGCAGCATTTCAGTTGACTCCTTCGGGTGTGGAGGACCCGACACACACCTGAACCACACCTGAAGAAGGCTCCACAGCCGAAACGTTGTGTTTCTTTTCTTCTCCTTTCAGCATATTTACTGTTTGGGTAGTTACTATTCATTATGTTTGTAATGTACTGGCCGCTTTGTGTGTTGTTGTCTGTTGTGCTGTCTCATGAGAGATCAGCACAAATAAAAATCCCCATGTACCTACAGTATGGCAATAAACTCCTCTCCTGTACATGTCATTATTACCATGAAGGTGAGAGCAAAATAATGCGTACCGTTTGTCACAGTGCTGTACAATTGTAAAGGCCCGCACAAGTGTGAGACAGCTCTTTTGTGCTGCAATCACAGGATCTTCTGCCTGAGCTCATGTCCCTGTAACCCTGCTGCATGAGAGGATGGCAGGAACAGTCCTGGGAGCTGGCACTGGCGTTTTCCTCCTCGCCCTCACCTGGATTGTGGCCCTGGCGCTGTGCCTCCTGCTCTCGAGGGCATCTGGGCCTGCCAGGTACTGTAGGTGCTGCCCGAGCTGAAATCCAATCATTGCGAAGGCGCGACTGAGGTTGATTCTGAATTCTGATTCTGACGGCTTCCTTGGCGGGGTTTTGGTTTTTTTCCATTTCTACTCTCTATTTCTTTATTTCCAGTCCAGGACACCATCAAACCCAATACCACCAAACCCCAACTGAAAAGGGCGGGCCTGTATGGTTTCACACTCATGGCCTTTCGGCTTTTGTTGTGATTTTACTTGAATAACTGCCTTTGTTTAATTTTTTTAAAAAAGAAAATATTTCCAAAAAGGGATCTAGAAATATTGAGCTTCCAGTTGCCCCGTTCTTGCCATTCTAGCACAGAACTGCCTTTCAGCTGCACACAGCGTCATTGGTCTTGTTGTGAAATTTACTTTAAGACACGTTCTTAACTTCTAAACCTTTCAGCACCAGTAAGACATTGTAACTCTGCTCTGTCATACAGATCGATGAAATGCACCCAAATGCATCTGCTTTAATTAATTTATTAATTTAATTTATTTAATGCAAATTACTAACTGCCTGCATTTCTGGCATCAGATAATTGGTGTCAATGCAGTAACCTGAGCAACCCAGAGATGCAAAAATCTGGAGTCTTTAATTGTACAGGACACGCTTTGCAGTATTGTGGTTTGCAGGAAATGTCACAGCTGGCTGAAAATGACATCAGCATCCTGCTCCACCTTCTCCCCAGGCTATCTGTCGTCCCGGTGTTTCTCCTTGCCTTGATCATCACTCTCACCCTCGTCTTCTTCCCTCGAGCCTCAGAGAGCCCCTCTCCCGTCAAAGAAGTGGAGGTAAGTTTACGCAGTCATAACTCTTTTTTAAATCTTTCTGTTGCTCTGATAGCCTCCCTTTTCAAATAAAGTGCACAAAAAAAAGCCCATTTAAAGTTGTTCTCTCAACTCTGAGAGATGCACAGTTGATGGTTCTTATTGTACAAAAGAATTAGGTATGGATATATATTGAAATTTGATTGGAGAAAACAGATTTCTTTCATCATTATACATCTTATGTGTATTACTTGTGTATATAATATATACTTATGTATAATATAAGATGACAGTCTTCACTTATTTTTCATTTCATTTGGACAGGTTTAATCTAAAGCTCTTTTCCTTACTTCCCATCTCCTCCGAAGCTTTGTTTTCACTTGTTAGTGGGCAAGGTCCAGAAGCGCCTCTCAGAGCGCAGTGGTCCCCCTGCAGGAGAAACACTGACATGCCAGTAACACCTGCAGGTCGGTTTTATCTGCCCGGCACAGCAGTGCTGCACAAACACAGACATTATTCTCCTCTGTTTGTCCAGCTTCTGCCAAGAGAACAGGGCAGATTCACCACGTTTTTCTTCCAGAGGTGGGGGGAAAAAGCTTGCTACGGTTTTGATTTTCTAAACTGTGCTTTCATTATTCCCCTGAAGTTAGGGGAACAACTTTCAATTTAAAATCTCTAATCTAACTGAATTATTCTGAAATCTTATAGAGAACCGTGTGCTTTACAGTGATGTTAAAATCAGCATTGTGATTTTAATTTTCTAGCATTTGCATTTCAGAAGAATCCATTTTGTATCTAGCAACATAAAAACATACTGCATTGTAAGCTGCATGTTGAAAGAATTGACTCTGACATATGTGTAGGGTAATTGGCCTCACAGCAAAAGTCAGAACATCTTCTCTCTTTTTGTGGCTGCAGTACCATTGCAGAATGCTTCAAGATGTGCAGACAGCTTAATTAACAAAAAACACTTTATATGTAGTTTTTTGAATTCCTGGAATACAGGACAATACCACACCTTCCAAGTGAAGAAATGTTCTCAGTGATGTCATGGTGCTGAATATGGATAAAACATATTTGTTTCTGAATCAGCTGTCAGGATGAATTATGGGTTGTTTTGAGTCAGCTTGTTAAACGCGCACGTCTGGATTACAGACGAGTGGGCAAAACATCTATTCAGGTATCGGTGTTGTTTTTAGTTGAACCCGAACACGGTCACCGCAAAACAACTCTCCCAAACGCTCTGAGAGACCTTTAACAACTGTCTGCTGGAGAGCGAGCCGCAGCTAACCTCTCCCTGTTAAACAAAGGCAAAATATCACAGTGCCAATTAGTCAGGCCCCAGACCGGGGCCCTGAGCACGGCGCTCGATGCCACATTAATAATACATGCCCCCAGCTCTGTGCTTCGTTGGCCGGCTAATTGGCTAATTAAAAAGTGAGATGCGTTAAACGAGAGAACATCGCATCCACAGGAGACCCCCCCCTCCCCTTTCCTCAGTCAGCTGCGGTGTTAGATGTCTGTCTCATGGCCTCCTGGTCACGTGTTGGCCCAGGCCTTTGGGGGACCAGGTTAGCATTCTCCCCCGTTCCCTCAGCTCATTTCTTTTAACAGACAACACGGCAAAAACAACAACTGTCCAGGTTTAACCTTCGCTCGCTGCATCTTTTAAAGACTATCGGATCTGCCGCCACCCCCCTCCCTGCTGAATTCTGAGACGGTGTAGAACTGGCGCCCCCAGCTGCCTGAGCCTGGTAGCACAGGACATGCAAAATGCACATCTCGTTGCTTTTCCGATGACTGAAGAGAGCTGTGCAGCTCCGTTGTTTTTAGGTTTTGTTTTGCCTCCGGCCTCATTTATTGAGAACGTTAGAACTGGGACCATCCGAAAATGTTCATAACAAAAGGTGAAGTTAAAATTTCTAACATGCAAAATATATCTCTTTCCCGTCAGCTCCTCTGGGAAGCTGACCTCTTCCATCGGTTTCCAGCACTGTTTTGTCTTATTATGTGACATTCTATGCAAATGTATCAGTAAATAGTAGACCTAGAATTGTGGCGTGCTTAATTGTTTTGATACATACACTGCACTCTCACAGTGGTGTTTGTTGAAAGGCTAACTTCACCTCATTTAAAGCACTCACTTTAATAAGCTTATTTTCTCTATTATATTTTGTAATATTAGAATCTATCGGTTAATCCACCCACTTTCTAATTGCTTCAACCAATTCAGGGTCCTATACTGGCAATGGCTATTTATTTACATCTCTGTAGAAATTAAGTAGAAGCAGAAATTCATAGTGTAACTACTTCGAAAACCTGGTTTTCTCAGAGGTTTATGTCTGACACCTGGTGGAGTAAATCTGCAACTCCCTCAAACGAGAGGAGAAAATTGACAAGATACAGTATTGTCCCTGTAAATGCCTTAACTGGTATCTATGAAGCTGTGACACAGAGAGAAATGATTCTGGTTGGCCGAGATGAAAACCTGCATAATAACACTGTGGATGAGTCTCGGAAAACCCCAGGATTCACTGTTCAGCGCGCCTCAGGCATTTTGAAAAAAAAATAAAACAAAAATGTTTCATAACTCTTCTAAATATTATTTGGTTGATTGGAAGTGTTACATAATATTCCTTCCACATAAACTCGGGATATTTTTAGATTACCAGTGCTAACTACAGTATTATTGTAGTGACTTGGCATACAGGTAGGCATTTTCAAGATTTGTGTTTTTAAAGGGCGAATTGTTCGAACAAGCGACGGCTGGTTCTTCCACTTTTGCAGATTGTGGACACCTTCTTCATCGGCCGCTATGTCCTCCTTTCGCTGGTCAGCGTCGTGTTCTTGGCCAGCCTCTTCCTGCTGCTGCCCCTGCTCCTCCTGCAGCCCGTGTACGCCAAGCCTCTGAGGACGAACTAGCGTCAGCCCCCACGCGGAGCCGGAGACAGACTCCTCCGAGAGGAAATCCCAGGGTCTATCTGCAAGCCAGATCCCTACGAGATCTCCACACTCCCTGGTGATTTCCCCACATGACGGCAGAAAATCCCAGGTGTGCTGCAGCTTTTGCTAATGAACATCGAAGCTGCAGTCTCCCCACATGGATCCAGACGCACGCTGTTATGCGCCAGTGACGCGTTGTTGTGGTTGTTGTATTTTACTGGAGAAAAATGTGTCAAGCCGGTATGCTTTCTAGAACTCTGAGTTTTTGTGTATTATGTGATTTATGATGAAAATACCAACACCTGGTGGTTTAGGTTTCCAGGGCTGGGTTTTAGACCTTCCTGACCTGACTGAACCCAAAGTTTACTAATTTGATCAGAAATGAACGTGTTCCAAGTTTTTACAAGTTGTTCTAAGGCTGACCTGCTGGTTTGAGTCCATCAATGACTAGGGCTGGCCACCCCTGGTCTACTTGATAATGACCCCCTGTTTGTAGTGTTTTGGTTAATGGGTATTCAGTACACACATGAATTTGCAACTTGTATATCGATAGTCAACATCCATTCTGTGGGCCACAAATCTTGTTTCACATGGGCATGGTATTTTAGGGGGTTTGAGTCCATTTGCATCTTTAATTGAATGCTTCTTTTATGACACTTGAATGTTACTGTTCTGGGGAACCTTTCTTTTTTACACTATGTCTGTCCGTCTTACAAGAACTTACATCACAGTTCTTCCTTGATCTGGGCAGCTGAAGTTATAAAAAGTCACTGTTTTAAAGCCGGAGCAACATTGTATTATTGCTCACAACTACTTATATTTGTATCGATATGTATATACAAACTGAAGAGCAGTGATTTGATATGTTTTGCCTATAATTTGTCCAATCGACAAATTACGCTCAGTTTAAATTAAGAACAGAGGACTCCTATAGCTTTTGAAGCCAGGAGTTGTCATCCCTGTTCTGAGGTGGTTGTAGAAGTGGCGTTTATGCCATGCTGGTTTTGTGCAGCGCACTTCAGCATTGAAAGCAATTCTCCAAAGATCTGGTAGAGGGCAGCAATATATCTGTGCTCTTTTGTTTCTTTCCACAAGTTGCTGCTGATTAAGTTCAGCAGAAATTTTACACATTCTGCAACCCCACAATCCTTTTTGAAAACCTTGGGCTCTGCATCACTTTCTAAATAAAAACCAGCAAGTTTTTGGAGAAGCTCTTAAGATGATTAATGGAAAAGAACAACTGTTACAAACTGTCTACCAACTCGTGACTTATAAGCAGCTTCTGCATTTCCTGAATTTTCTCATAGATGTCAAAAGTAAAAAAGGGTCTTGAAGTTCCTGAATAAATTGTTTTTCTACACTTGTGTTGTCTCTTACTGTTAAAAGTAAGTTAGCAGATTTAGCGCTGTAAAATGCTTCAAAATTATTTTTTCCTTTCAGAACTGTTACTAAATTTAATCGTTGATATTAGTTTCAAATTATCATGTTTTCTTTAGATTTAAAATGGATTCCCCTATAAAAAGTAACGTATTGTAAATAAATAATGAAGAAAATTAATCTTTTCACAGTAAACTCACATTCTATTAAAAAGTCTCACATAATCTCCAATGTAAGACCACTTGGTGATTTTTGCTTTAAGATAAATATTTAGTTACCACAATAAAGTCATTAAACTCACATTGATTTATAAAGGTATTGGAAACAATTTCTCATTTAAATTTTCCATACTAAAACCAAGGTCTTTTGTTATTCCAAAAAAACCCTTTCTAAACAAGAGATCAAAGAACTACTATTACTTTGTTCAGAATTTACTTTTCTCCTTCCATTAATATATCCATTATATATATCCATATCCATTAATATATGACTTTCAAAGTGTACCTTTGCAAAAATGAAAACCCCAGTGGATAGGACTTGTAACACCTGTTAGCTAAGCTGATGCTCACATGCTGGCCCAGGAAAAAAAAAAGTTTTATACTTTTTGTTTGACGGCAACAACATGTAGTTAAAACTATCCTTTCTCAACACAGTTTGACATAAAGGTTTAAAGAGTTTCTAACCATGCTTAATTTCCTAAGAATATCACAAAGATTTGAAATTGACGCTGTTCATCTCGTGGTGCCGCTGCAGAAGGATAAATCTATCTGTTGCTTTTTTTCAGAATTTTGAACAACCGGTTGGCCTCTGTGGGAGAAAAAAAAGGCTATACATTGAGCCTCGCTGCCGAGGACGTCTAGCCTAGTGCCCCTGATTTGTTTTTCAAAATCAGATCAAAGATGGTGGTCTGATATGCCCATTTCACCACGAACAGAGGTGCTTCAACAGGTCACCTAATATTGTACACAGAACACAGAAAAGTCCCGGCTCTTAGTTCAAGGGACAAAGTCAGATTAGCGTTTGTTGCCTTCGTTCAAACCCCCAAAACACCGATAGTGTCGCATTTATTATTTTATGACAAATCTGTAGCGCCGTGTTGAGGATTATTTCTGAAGCTTGTGAATGTCTGGCTGGAGACCGATCCCAGAAGGGTTTTGAGCGCTGGGAGTAATACCGTGGTATCATGGATGTGAGCGGTGCTGCTGGTCTGGCAGAGCGATGCAGCACTGTTGCAGGAGACAATGAAGAGAGGGTCCTCACAAGACACGGGGGATGAAAATGAGAGTGCAGCTGATTTACCCCAGACACAGCCTGTGCACTGCTGGGGCTGATGAGGTTGGAAACAGTTTAATTGCATCTTTACTTTGCTGCATTGAAATGTTAATTATTTCACTGAACTGAGGGCACTTCATGTGAAAGACTGCATAACTCTCCCACATACTACAAAGTTAGAGGAGATCGCGAGGAGATACTATTCATCCATACATCCATTTTCTAGCCGCTTCGTCAATTCAAGGTGGTGGGGGAGCCAGAGACTAAGCTGGCAAGGGACAGACACAAAGCAGGGTACACCCTAGACAGGACGCCAGTCCAATGCAGGGAACACGCACTCATACCAGCGATGGGAACACTATACTGTAAAAAAAAATAATTGGATAAGCTGTAAAACCAAGGTCCTGGCTCTCTGTGGGCATTTCTCGAAAAGAGTAGGAATGTTACCCCAGTGTCCTGGCAAGATTTCCCCCTGGCCTTTACCAATCATGGCCTCCTAATAATCCCCATCTCTGAACTGGCTTCATCACTCTGCTCTCCTCGTCACTGAGAGCTGGTGTGTGGGGAGCAGACTGGCACAATATACTATAAATGAAAGGAATTATTATGAATTAATATAATTATGTTACAGACACTTCTTGAATCTCCATTCTTCTGTTTATAAACTCTCGGTAGGATCCTGAAAGAGAACACATGTGGGAGGAGCGCTGGGGGTTTCCTGGTGTCGAATCAACAGATAGGACAGCGAGATCTGTGTCTGTTCACACACCCCTGCTTGACTCCTGTGCGGCAGTACAGGGAGGAAGGGGAGAAGTGGACCTTAGGCGCAGAGGAATAAGCCCTTGGGGGCAAGGAGCTCCATTACAGACACTCACACCCCTCCTCCGCCTCCCTCCCCGCCCACCCTTCACCCGCCAAGCCCCCTATTAATACCGGGAAGGCTGGCAAGACGTGTGGTGAAATTCCAACCAGGAAAAATAAAGGGAAACTAATGAATCAAATCCAATCCTGTTAGTTCCGGCCCAGATCTCTACACAGAGGCCATTCTGCACTGCAGCCCACTTCAGATTGCATCTGGGCTGAAACGAGGGAGGAAGGGGTCATAGGTCATTATTTTGGGGATATACTGTACAGCCCGTTGTTGGATCATATGTTTTGATGTTTTCTTTTGGTTCCTGCACTCATCTGACATTATCTACACTCCGGGCCATGCTTAGATAATGACAGAGGAGATGCGTGGCACACAGCTTGCCAATAGCCCGGCAAGCGAAGTGTTTCAGGCTGGTGTACAGTGACATTCACACCTCCTGGCTGGAGGTGTGGGAAATCCAGCCCCGAAGGTCGTCTCTATCAG